TGAGAGTGTAGGGGTTCTGATAATTGAGAATTGTTTCTTTGGCAGAAAGCAATAGGCTTAATTTCTAGACTGGGCTTTGCTTTGTGAATGTGGGCATCATTTGGCCTCTTCAATTGATTTCTTCTCCTGAAAATGCTATTAATTGCCCTGCTACATACCTATGAAAATACAATCCTCTATGCAAATATAGGGGAGATTAATGGCTGCATGGCTAAACTGGTGTTGAAAGAAAATGTAAAAAATGAGTTTCTGGCCTGTTAGCTGACAGTCTGTTTACTTGTTAAATGTCTTCATTTTAGCATCTCCTAGCAGTTTCTGTATACATTTGATTTCTTTTTCTCAGTTTTTCAGAAAACCATTTTAATTATTTTAAAAAATTATATTCACGCATTTTATTTTCTTTTCTTTTTTTTTTTGAGACAGAGTCTTGCTCTAGTTGCATAGGCGAGATCTGCTCTCACTGCAAGCTTCGCCTCCCGGGTTCACACCATTCTCCTGCCTCAGCCTCCTGTGTAGCTGGGACTACAGGCGCCCGCCACCGCACCCGGCTGATTTTTGTATTTTTAGTAGAGATGGGGTTTCACCGTGTTAGGATGGTCTTGATCTCCTGACCTCGTGATCCGCGTGTCTCGGCCTCCCAAAGTGCTGGGATTACAGGCGTGAGCCACCGCGCCCAGCCCACATTTTCAATTAATACGGGATTTATATTCCTAGTACCTTGAAGTGAGGTGATAAAGTCAGGAGCTCTGTTCTTGGAGAAACCACTCACTAGCTATGTGACTTTTGGAAAGTTACTTAACTTCTCTGCGTCTTGGCTTCCTCCTGTGTAAATGGAGCTAATAATACCTCACTTTCCAGGGCAGTTGTGAATATGAAAAATAGTGCACAGGAAGCAGTTAGCAAAAGTGCTTGGCACATAACAGATGCTTCATAAATAATTGCAACGATTGTCATTAACATATAGCAAAAGATGGAAGATTAAATTGAAGTCTTACTCTGTCTTCAGTGAACTTATTAAACTACTTTATTCACAAGTTTGTTAGCAGTCATTTTAATTTAATTTCATTTTTTTCTCCTTCGAAGGGCTATTGAGTGGCCAGACTTCCCCAACAAATGCCAAATTGGAGAAACTGGACTCTCAACAGGTGTTGCAACTCTGCCTCCGATATCAAGATCACCTGCATCAGTGTGCAGAGGCTGTTGCTTTTGACCAGAATGCTTTGGTTAAACGTATCAAAGAGGTAATGTGCTCTGGGAAAATAACATTGCTGACTGGTTATTATGATTCTCTGCAACTCTGGATGCCATCTTAAAACTTGACATTTGTCACTATTGCTTTGAGGAGATTGCTTTTTCCTAGCAGTAAAATGTGATGATGAAAATAGTGGTCCACAGAGCTGGGCTAATTTACAGTTTGAATCGTGATCACCACCGATTTGCTTGGCCAAGTTGCTTAACTTCTTTCTCTTTGTCTCAGTTTCCTCATGTGAAAAATGGGGCTAATAGTAGTAACTTACCCCAAGGGTTGAGTGACAGATTGCTCAGTAAGTGTTAGCTATTATTAGTTTGTGTAAAGTCTTGCCATACTAATTTGCTCTAGCCACCATTCTATCTTTGAATTGACTGTAATCGTTTCCTGTGTGTAATTTATATTTTGTTTCCCGGCACATTATAATTTCTTTCAAAGCAGGAGTCTTGATACGAAAAGCTCCAGTGATTCTTAATGGTTTTATGGAAACAATTACGCCTATTTAACCTGCAAAGTTTTTAAAGGAAAGAAGCAATGTAATTCATGTGAAAATACTTAGTAAACTGAAGCACATGCTACAAATGTTGTATAATTATCAATCGCAGTAAATAGGTACTTCCTTTAAGCACTTAAATGTATCATTGACCAGCTGCTGCACAGCACAGTTCTAGGGGCACAAAGGAATAAGTGAATACATTTTCCAAAGTTTTCAGTCAAGAAAAGCTTTATATTTCTGACACCTCGATGTACTGTAATATCAAGGGAATGTTAGGAGCTGTTTATCGGAGAAACCACTTATGTGAATGGCACTCCCAGATTTGTTTTAACAACATGGCCCTTTAACTCTGGTGAGAGAAGATGATGGACATGGAGAAACAAGCAATGGGGCAAGAATCACTGCAGATTAACAATTTTTATTTAGCAATGGAGGTAGTACATCCTTGAGACTACAAAGTAGTCATTAGTTGTATTGGCAGATTTAAATTTGCCAACGTCTCCAACATTTTAGTACTTAGCTTTCATAAAATGTTGCATGCATATACTCTTCTCTCATGGGTTAAATACTATTATTTGGAAAACTATTAAACATGACCTTTGATATTGCTTTTCATTGATGTGGCTTTGCAGATATTATAAACTTATTTTACTATATTATGGTCTACCAAGCTTTAATTTCCAAACATGACTATTCATTGGCATCATGTGGGTTTTTTGTTTGTTTTAATACTTAGTTCTCCCCTCCTCCCAGTATGTCTAGGTGTGGTTTGTGAATCATCATTATTTTAGTAAGATAATATGATTTGGCTGTGTCCCCACCCAAATCTCCTCTTGAATTATAGCTTCCGTAATTCCCACACGTCATGGGAGGGACCTGGTGGGAGGTAATTGAATCCTTCGGGAGGCTCTTTCCCATGCTGTTCTCGTGATAGTGAATAAGTCTTACGAGATCTGATGGTTTTATAAAGGCGAGTTCCCCTACACAAGCTCTCTTGCCTGCCACCATGTAAGATATGACTTTGCTCTTTCTTCACCTTCCACCATGATTGTGACGCCTCCCCAGCCATGTGGAACTGTGAGTCAATTAAACCTCTTTCCTTTGTAAATTACCCAGTCTTTTGTATGTCTTTATGAGCAACGTGAGAACAGACTAATACATAAGGTTACCAAATGATACTGATGCCACCCTCTGTTAGCTGGGATGTGGGAACCAGTGGTCTTAAGCACTATTTCTAAAATAAGTTCTACAAAACTAGTCCCATGTAAAGAAGGTCAAACGTTTTGCATATTCCCTCACCACCGCTTGTAAAATCACAAAGCATATTATTTCATTTAAAGTTCTTAGGAGTCTCACAGTAAAGAAAGCCAGACTTTTGAAACTTATTTGACCTCAGAACACTTATCTTAGGGAACATCTATTAACATCCCATAAAGTAGTGATTTTAGAACATTCTTTGGGAAATGCTATTGTAGACGTAAGACTTTACCTTTTTAATTTTTTTAGAGACAGAGCCTCATACTGTCGCCGAGACTGGTGTTTAGTGATACATTCATAGCTCACTGCAACCTTGAACTGCTGGGCAGAAGCGATTCTCCAACCTCAGCTTCCTGACTAGCTTAGGACTACAGGTGTATGCGATCATGCCTGGCTATGTTGTCCAGGATGTTTTCAAACTCCTGAGCTCAAGCGATCCTCCTGCCTCAGCCTCCCAAAGCACTGGGATTACAGGTGTGAGCCACTGCCCCCAGCCAGACTTCACCATTTTTTACTGTTGTGTTAGAAGTTAATTAACTATGACATTAATGCTCAGAGAGGAGATCTTAGAATAATAATAAATTGGCTTTTTGGTGCTTATTCTTTTTAAAAAGTCCTTTAAGTTCAAGACCAGCCTGGCCAACTTTGTGAAACACCGTCTCTACTAAAAATACAAAAATTAGCCAGGTGTGGTGGTGCATGCCAGTAGTCCCAGCTACTTGGGAGGCTGAGGCACAAGAATCGCTTGAACCCAGAAAGTGGAGGTTACAGTGAGCCCAGATCATGTCACTGCACTTCAACCAGGGCGACAGAGCCAGATTTCATCTCAAAAAAACAAAACAACAACAACAACAACAACAACAAAAAACCCTCTAATCCATATCTGTTGTTTTGCAGTTTAGCAAAGTATGGTACAGAGAGATTAACTGACTAGTTGTATATCAGAGAGCTGGGGAAAGTGTTTTGTAGGTGGAAATACCAGACAGAGCTTCTATTATACCACATTTTCAAGACTTGAGAGCAGTGTTTCTCAGCCCTGGCTACATGTTAAAATTACTCAGAAATTTTTTCCTCCCATATATATGAGGGGAAATTTTACACATATACTGAAGAAGACAGAGTAAAAGAAGACAGAGTAACACAGTGAACCTTCATGTACTCATTACCAGCCACTACAATCATCAACTTGCAAATACTCCTGTTTCATCCATATCCCTACTCCCTGCCACCTCCAACTGCATATTTTATAGTAAATCCCCAGACATGATTTCATTCATAAATATTTAAGTATATATCTTTAAAAGTGAAGGATTCTTTTTAAAAATAACTTTTAAATTTGAATTAATTTTAGACTTAGAGAAAAGTCACAGAAGTAATTTGAGAGTGCCTATATACCCTGCCCCATGCAGCTTGCCCTAAAGTTAACACTTTACATAAGCTTCATACAGTGATCACCAGGAAATTACTAACAATTAAATGGAGACCTTATTTTGAATTTTACCAGTAATTCCACAAATGAATGACTCAGTCCTTTTGAAAAATATAGTCACAATGCTGTATACCTAAAATATTTAACAATGATACCTTAATTCATTCAGTATAGCTGAGGTGCTGTTAAGAAAAGACTGATGTCTGGGTCTCACTCCAAACAGATTAGATCAAAATCTTTGAAGGGTGATAGGGTTGGGGCAGTGGGATGTTGGGTATTGTTATTTATGAAGGTGCAGTAGGTGATTCTAATATGTAACCAGGTGAGAACCAGTGTTTTGGAGCATTCATTTAAAAATAAACTGAGTTTGGCAGGCGACATGGCTCATGCCTATAATCCCAGCACTTTGGGAGGCCAAGGCAGGCGGATTGCTTGAGCCCAGGAGTTCAAGACCAGCCTAGGCAACATGGTGAAACCTCATCTCTACAAAAAAGACCAAAAAAAAAAAAAAAAAAATTCCAGGCATGGAGGTGTGTGCCTGTATTCCCAGCTACTTGGGAGATGAGAAGAGGTTGCGGTAAGCTGAGATCTCCACTCCAGCCTGGGCGACAGAGCAAGACCCTGTCTCAAAAAATAAACAGTTTGAAATTCTGTTTGAAGAACTTTGGGATTCACTTTGAATAGTCAGTAGTTACCCAGGACTATTGCAAAACAGAGACCAGCACTCACAGTACTGAGCAATAGCCAGCAGGGCGGTTGGGCAGAGGAGGTGAGCACAGTTTTGGGGCTTTCATTGGTGGTGTAATGTGTCCGTTGCATCTCTGGTGGTGAGTATTAGCAAAGTCCTGAATCATATCCATCCGTCTATGTTCACTTCAGACCTAAGGGTTGAAATTAGTCACTTCCAAATGAGTAAAGCAGAGGATGTCATTTTGATCGAACACCAACTCTCTGATATTATTCCAGATGTTTCCTGGAAATTTGGTTGGAAAGGTGAGGAAGTAACATAATACTATGTGTTGAAAAGTGAGGGAACTTAATAACCATGGAGAATGTCTGTTAGTGGAAGTATAGAACCGGGACCACCTAGAGGTCCCTAAGATGACAGTACCTGTGATCACTTAAGTCTGCATCAAAGGGAAACATGGCTATAACTATTTCTGATTCAGATAAAAGAAAATCAGAGAGTTGGCTAAGCTTTCCTTATGTTAAATTTGGATGATGCTCTTGAATGAAAAGTTTATGTTTATAGATTTGTGTATGTGAGGGAGAAGAATGGAGGTAATTTACTTTACAATCAGGGAGTCTAGTGACGTACCTTGACTACTGGTTTCTTTAACAGCGATAGGATGGCCCCTCAGCCAGCACTGTTGAGCAGCTGTTGCAGACCCACCTAGTGGGAGGTCCTTTGGGGGTTCCAGAGACATGTAACCTGGTCCCTGCTCTTTGAGAGTTTAGCCTCGATGAGGGAATGAAGATACACAGAACGGAAGTATGAAAAAGGCACTGTTGAAGGGGGTGCTCATTTGTGATTTATAACTAAAGCTCTGTAAGAGTTAATGATCAGGATATCCTGGAGCAGACGGGGTTTAAGCTAGGTATTTGGGGAAAAAAACCCAGGAGTTGGGAAATGAGAGGCAGAGGGGGGCATTGCTGCAGGCTAACAGCTTGGCAGTCTTAGAAGAAAATTAACTTCGGGGCTTCAGGGACAACGAAGAAACTGGCCGGAGTTTCGGTGAGCTTGCTCAGAGAAATCTCTGCATTCGGAACCACGGAAGGTTGGAATTGGAAGGACCTTAGAGACCCTCTGGTCCAGTGCTCTCATTATTCAGATGCAGAAATGAAAGCCTTTTAGAGAAAGTAAGCACTTTGCCCAGGTCACACGGTGAGGTAGTGGCCAAAATTAAATTAAAAGTGGATGAAGATCAAAGGGGAATTTTTGTTTTGCAGGTGGTGCACTGGAACATGTTTACAGGATGAGGGGGAAGAGGCAGAAGAGACAAGATCAAAGATGAAGGAGAAAGGGGGATTCTTGGAGCGAGATCCCTGAGGAGGCAAGAGTTGGAGCCCTGTGGGACATTGGTTTTGAGAGAACAGATAGGGCGCAGGCAAGCTTACGGCAGAAGGGTCCCTGGCACAGATCAGTCACACCCAGCAGCTTGTGTATCCTCTGTGGAGAAGAGGGGGGTCATTTGTTGAGTGGTCATGGTGACTGGATACAGTCGTGAGTGCCATAAGTCCTTGAGGGCTCAGCTGAGGCAGGGCAACTTGTATTTGCGGACAGTCTGGCAAAGTGGTTCTAAGTGTAAAATCCAGAGCCACACTGCCAAGGTTCAATCCTGGCTCCATCTCTGACTAGCTGTGTGACCTCAGGCAAGCCCCTTAATTCTTCTGAGCCTCAGTTTCCTTTTCCGTTCAGTGAGAACGGAATGACATCCAGCTCAGGTTTTCATGAGGGTTCAATAAGTTGTTCTTGGTTCAGTACTAGGGACCACACCTGCCATGTAGTTAGACACTGTAGTGTTAGCTCTTGTTATTGCTTTAAATAGAAATGATGACTAAGGAGAAAGGCCTATCCTAATTGCCATGAATTGGCCCATATGAAATTACTTGATACCAGCAGCTGTCTAAATATTGCCCGATTTTAAGCTCGGCTCTTAACAACCCAAGTATAAGAACTAAATAGAGGCAAGGCACAAAAAAAAAAAAAAGTTTTTTTTTTTTTTTTTAGCTCACTGTGGTTTCCTTCAAACCCTGCAGGATTTCTTTCGTGCCACAAATATGTAGTTTTTGGAATTTCTGTAGTGACTTTTACTGTTTATTCTGCTTTGTGGATAGCATACTCGTGCCTGGGGAACATGGGTCTTGAGAAATGTGAAGCTGGATGGTGGCAAACCATTAGTCCTTGGCTTCTAGGCTGTGGATACATGGCTGCCTCTGATTTGGGAGATTTCCTGTATATTGCCTCGTTTCTAGTTAAGGATTCAAGTTGACAGACACTTTGTTTTAGGTTACATCTATCATTGAAATGTGGGGTAACTGAAAGGCCAACAAGAAAAGAGTGTGCTTCCTCCCCAGGTGTGGTTTTCCTGGGGGCGAGGGACGAGGCCGGTGGCAAATCCGCAGCCCCAGGAAGATGCAGCACAGACTTTTGGAGCTTCTCTTGTCACTGCCCTGGATCTTCTTTCGGCCTCATTCTAGTTGCTGTCAGTGGGTAAATATGTTCACAGATTAGAACGCCTTCGTAACTAAGATAAAGCCACAAGGTTTATTTTGTTACAGTTCCTGTGTGCTTGCTTAAAGGCTTTGAGAGTACATTCATGATATGATTCTGGTAACTCCTGTTTTAATTCTTAGATGCATTGATAAGCATACTGTATTGCTGTAAACCAGTGTGAAGCATGGAGGGGGTTCAAATGAACCGGTAAGAAAAAAATTGCAATCCTTGGAAAGCCATGCGATTACACAAGATTATAGAAAGGCCCTGAGGTTTCTCTGATTTAGCCCTTTCATTGTGCAAATAAAGCAACCAAGGACTTTTGAGTGTACATGGGATTTGCCAGATATCTTTCTATTAGTTAATGAACAAGATGGTATTAGAAGGTGAGTCATCTTTTCCACTGCACCATACTACTTACGTTCTGCCTCTTTGGAGTCCTTCATTTCATTTTTGGTTATTCCTTTTTCACCTGGTAAGTCCTCCACTGGTGTTTGAAAGAATGCACGAGAGTTGCCCTTCATGGGCCTGCACACAGGGCTGGGCAGGGATTTCTTTCTGTCAACGGTGCTGTAATGTTTAAGACCCAGCTGGAGTCATTTTCCAAGCATTTGACCTGACTTCCTGTACTGTGTGTCCTCCCAGGGGGAGAGATTGATCCCGATTAAATGAGTTGTTCCGAGTGATGCACAGAGCATCAGTGTCTGAATTGGCCTTAGCATTCACTTTGAGCTCCTTCGGTTAAAAGCCTGGTTAGGGCGAGCTGTTGGCCAGGTGAAACTGTTGCTGTCGCCCTGACACTGTGAACCAAATCTCCTTTAAATGACAACATTGTTAGAGTCCTGTGGCTGCTTGTAAACATATTTTGGCTTCAGTTGCTGCTTTCTTGACCTGAAATTATAAAATGAATTGGGAGTACCTGTTGCAAAACTACAAATTTTGACAAGAACATTGAGATGTCGGCTTCTTTTTGCTGAAATACTGAGGCAAGACATTTCAAGAAAATTTTATGTTCCCATAGAATGTCACAAGTGACTCTGGCATAAATTCCAGGTTGAAACCTTACCATGTAATTATAGTTTCCCCGCTTCTTGTCCTTTGGGCAACCTTTCTTTTCTGTAAGAAATATAACTGGTCCCCTGGGTGGCAGGAAATCCAGGTGGGGGGTGCGCTGCTTCTGGTTCGGCGGACTGTAAGGTATGCTGCACAGGGCTTCCTTGGGCCTGGCCCCACACTTCCTTTGCACCAGCACTGTCCTGCCAAAAGCCAGAAATCCTGGAAGAGGGCCGAATCTAGTTTATTACTTGCCTGTTGGAAATGTAGGCTTGTGTTTTTTGGCAAGGCATGAGCAGAGCCCGGTTATTTGACTGCTCTGAGATTTAGCTCCATTCCGTTTTTGGACAATGACATATGAGCATGTGTGAACAGCAGCCCCATTTCCCCCCAGTTTGCCTGCCCTAGACATGCCCCCAGACAGCTGGCTCTGCCAGCTTTCCCGATGCCAGGTTCTAGAGCCCCTGTTCTTCTCCCTCCCCTGCTCATTTCCAGTCCGCCAGAGTGGGCAGTGTCAGAGGTCCCATGTAGTCTCCTCTCTTGTGAGGAACACCAGAGCACCTGTAGTCTCTAAGCCAACTAGCCGGTATCAAGGGCTCCTGGGTTATGGAAATGAAACCAGGGCTGGGAAAAGATGTTCCCTGTCCCGTATCCCTTTCAATGAAGATAAACACGAATTTTAGCAAATTAGAGCATTGCTGCAGTGCCTAGAACAATGCCTGGCGTGTAGTAGATGTTTAATAAATTCTTGTTTAATGAACAACTTATATATTCTTCAATTATTTCATCCTAGGGACTGATAAGTTTTCTCATTCTATCAGAGAAAATAAAGGTTATGAGGGTTGCATTAGGTAGAGTAAGCTAGGCTACAGCTAAAAATAGACTCAAAGATGTGTAATGGCTCAAATGCAACAGAAGTTTATTTCTTGCTCTTGTTCAAGGTGGATGTTTCTGGTTAGCAGGTGACTCTCCTCCATTGAGTTCAGGGATTCAGGTTCCTTCCATCTTGTGACTCTGCCGTCCCCAACGACCACGTTGTTGATAGTGTCCAGTGGCAAAAGGGAAAAAAGAGTGGACTAGCACAGATAGGAGGTTCTTACGGGCCAAACCTATGAGTGTTGCCTATGACTTCGGCTAGAATTCAATTACATGGCCACAGCTAACTCCAAAGAGGCTGGGAAATACAGTCTATTGTGTGCCCAGGGGTACACTAAATTTTGAACATCTGTGTCATCTTCGAGCTTAGATTCCTAAAATGTATCTGCAGCCCAACTTTGAGATTCAGAAGTCCTGATACAAGGTTCCATGGTAAATTTTGCTTGGTTTAAGTCCTCCTGCCAATGAAAACCAAGTGACATTAGGAAAAGGTCTATACTTTTAACAATAAGTAAAAAAAAAAAAAAAAAAAAAAAAAAATCAGGATGTAATAGTTTATATTCAATATGATTTCAACTGTATTAAATATTCTTTTGTTTATTTTAGAACAGGGTTGTCCAATTTTTTGGCTTCCCAGGGCCACATTGGAAGAATTGTTGTGGGCCACACATCAAATATATTAATGCTAAGGGTAGCTGATGAGCTTAAAAAAAAAAAAAACTCATAATATTTTAAGAAAGCTTACAAATTTGTATTAGGTCACACTCAAAGCTGTCCCGGACTGCAGGTGGCCTGCAGCCAAACAATCTTGTTTTAGAGACAGGGTCTCCCTCTGTTGCCCAGGCTGGAGTTCTGTACCACAATCATAGCTTACCGTAGCCTCAAACTCTTGGGCTCCAGTGATCCACCCACTGCAGCCTCTCACACAAGCAGCACTACAGGTGTGCCACCTACCTGGCTAATTTTAAATTTTTTTTGTAGAGACAGTGTCTTGCCGTGTTGCCTAGGCTGTTCTTGAACTCCTGGCCTCAAGCAATCCTCCTACCTCACCTTCTCAAAGTGCTGGGATTACAGGTGTGAGCCATCGTGCTTGGCCGTGGTAAATATTCTTAATAAATGATTAGACAGAAGGAAACATGACAGTGACTTAATTGTGGTTGCCCTTTAGAGGTGAGATTATCATTGGTGTTTGTTTTAGCCTGCTTCTGTTTTTCTGTGTTTTACAAGATTTCTATCTTGAACATGCATTACTTTTTTTTTTTTTTTTTGCAGTACCTTTTTTTTTTTTTTTGGTTAAACTGATGGATAGGCTCCATCTTCAGAGATTCTGTGCCAGTGGGTCTGGAGTAAGGCCCAGTACCGGCTCTTTTACTTTTTAATTTAAATTTTTTTTATAGAGAGGGTCTCATTCTGTCACTTAGGCCAGAGTGCAGTGGCACAGTCATAGCTCACTCCAGCCTCAAACTCCTAGGGTCAAGTGATACTCCTGCCCCAGCCTCCCCAGTAGCTAGGATTACAGGTATGTGACACCATGCCCAGCTAACTTTATTATTATTATTATTATTATTATTATTATTATTATTGTAGAGACAGGGTCTTGCTAGGTTGCCCAGACTGACTTTGAACTCTTGGCCTCAAGCAATCCTCCCACATCAGCCTCCCAAGTGCTAGGATTACAGGCATGAGCCACCATACGTGGCTTCTGTTTTTTGTTGTTTTTTGTTCTCACAATATATGAACCTCATAAGAGTTGCATCTCCCTGCCTGCAGCTTTTTGATTCACCAAGATAAGAATATGCCTCAGAACTTTGTATGCATATGCCTTTACGTGTCTGCTTCATTTATGAACTAGTCAGCTCTGTGTCAGGCCCTGTTGTAGGTGTCGAGGAAATATCACTACAAAACAGACAAGACCCTCCTTCAGAGATCTTACACTCCATTGTGGACACAGACAATAAATAAAGTAAAAAAATAAAATAGATGGCAGGTAAGTTGGTAAGTACAAGAATTAAAAAAAAAAGTAAGGAGATACAAAATGTCAGTAGGGTAGAAATTTGACATGGGGTGACACAGAAGGCCTTCCCAGAAAGGAACTTTTAATATAAAGACCAGCTCGTCAGTACAGAGCTAGCCAGGGGGCTCTTCTTTATAACTCTGTCTGGATCTGAAATTTATCAGATTATTTGACCAATGGCAATCCCAGTTCTCAAGATTCTGTTCTTTACGATCACTCTGCTCATTGTCATGTTTATCTGAATGTTCCGAACTAGAGTCTTATTTGCTATCTCTGTTGTTAGTTGGTAGGAGACTTGCAGATCTATACTCCTTTTAAAAACATCTCTGAATTGTTTTAGATTTCAGGGACTTCCAAAGGATCTCATCAGGAGGTGTCCCTAAAGCTTGAAGCAGCATTTAATTTTCTTCTGCCCATGCTGACAGACTGAGTATAATATTGTAAGACTTTAGTCGATGTCCTGGCGATCCTCCATCGTTCTCATTCTACACATGAGTAGAGAGCGTTTCACTTGTCTGAGGCCATATCACACCATTGCTGGAAACTGCCCATGACAGCCAACCTGCAGCCCAGAGCAAAAGGCATAATGAATGTGGAAGGACTCTGCAGGACTGTACGGAGCTATATAAAAGAAAGGATTATTTTGGGAGAGTAAAAGTCATTTATTTCAAATGCAGCCAGACAAGGAGGGATTGCAAAATGTTGTTCTGTAGAAGTATGAGCTTTAGTAGCGTAACACAGCATCATTTCAGTGATGGTTTCTTCCTGTATCCCAAAGTCCCCCAGCCTCCTCTCTTCCCCTTTCTACCTGGAAGTTTACAAATTCTCTCTTTGCCCTTGCGGAGACTTAGATTCTCTGGAGTCTGTCACTCACCTGCCTCTCCATCTTGTATTGTAATAGTCATAGTTGTATTCTGCAAAATGCGTGAAATTCAGATGGCTCTGGCCTGAAATACCCAGCCTCCACTCCTGCTCCCCTGCGTCTGCTGTGCCCCCTCCTTCTGGCGTCTGCTCCCCCCTCTCTGCCTGAGGAATCCTGCTCTCCCATCAGCAACCGCCAACAGCCTGGCACATGCGGAGGTCCCGGTTTCCCTTGATCACAGGGGACCTCCTTCCTCATGCCTCCCTGGTGTACAGGAAGTGTTTGCTGGAACAGTTTATGTGGTAAAGTTGAGTCGGTGCCTCAGCCATCTGCATGGGGAATGACATGGGCCTCTGGACTGGAAATCAGGCTCCAGCCTGATGTCCTGAGCAGCCGTCTAGCATCCTGCCCGAGAGCATAAGGCAGCGCCGGTGGCAGTATACCAGATCATTATGCCAATATCATCGTCCCATGTACGGTATCTTGGTTCTTTCTTCAGGCACAGGGTGGATTATTTTAGCTGTAAAATATTTACCCACGCACCACTGCTAAGCTCTGTTCTCCGAGTCAAAAAGGGGTTGTGTTCACATATGGTTTGGGTGGATACACCAGGGAATTACAGAGCACATAGTCCAGTTTTACAGTGTTTCATTACCTTAGCTCAGGTTTTAAGATGTTGAGTGTGTCACTTCAGTCATACAAACTTACTTTTATTTCTCTCTAATTCTGGACATCGGAAAGGGGAGTCCAGGTTAGTGGCGTGGCTTGGAGACTTTCCTCACTGTCCACCCGCTGCATCTGTGAGGCTTCTCCAGCCCCCCTCGTGATGGAGTGGTGACAGCGACAATAGTGTTACAGCTGTGGGTTTTACATGTTTGCCATGTGCCAGGTTTAGAATAGGCATTTGGCATATATCATCTGTATTTCACGATCAGCTGAGATTCAGACACCCGAACGTGTTCCCGGTTACACAGTTGTCGAAGTGGAGCTGGGATGCCAGCTCAGAGCTAACGTCCACCTTCAAGACTCTAGGCCGTGCTTCCTTTCCACCTTTTTGTCCATTGTCTTCAATTCTTTTATTTTTATTTTTATTTATTTATTTATTTATTTATTTATTTATTTATTTATTTATTGAGATGGAGTTTTGCTTTGTGGCCCAGTCTGGAGTGCAATGGCGATCTCAGCTCACTGCAACCTTTGCCTTCTGGTTTCAAGCAATTCTCCTGCCTCAGCCTCCCGAGTAGCTGGGATTATAGGCGCCTGCCATCATGCCCGGCTAATTTTTGTATGTTTAGTAGAGATGGGGTTTCACCATGTTGGCCAGGCTGGTCTCAAACTCCTGACATCGTGATCCATCCGCCCTGGCCCCCCAAAGTGCTGGAATTACAGGCATGAGCCACTGTGCCCTGCTTCATCTTCAATTCTTTAAGGGCTTATTCTTCCAGCCTGTCTCCTCCACTGCGCTCATGCCCAGTGTTCAAGCACGTTCCCTTACCCTGTATTCCTTTATAATACTCGCCGCCTAGTGTCACAGTATACTTAGCATCTCAAAAACAGTCTTTATAGGATGCAACCACACTTTAAAATAGCCTTGAAGACCCCACATTGACATTCTTGAAGTGACAACTCTGCCTACCTTGGGGATAACTTTTTTATCCTTCCACCCGTGCCCTGGAGAATGGGGCTTTTTACCAGTGTCTCAGAGGACTCCACAGTCTCTGTCTATGGAAGGTAGACAGAGAGCGGACACATGCTGAAGAGCTTCATCCTTCCCCACTGCCGCTCTGGAGGGGTTGCAGAGAGGGAGCCTCGAATGAGTCAGGGCTGGGGTGCTCGGTTGCAGACGGGGCCTTCTGCAGGAGGCAAAAGATCTCAGATGTCACCGCTGTCTTTCATGGGACCCGAGGAAAGCTCTCCCAAGGAAAGGGAGGAGTGGGACTTCGGACCCTCAGGCTTTTATTTTTACTCATGATGTTTTTCTTTTCTTGATTTGCTGGCATCAGTGCCGTTTTCAAGGCCTTTTGTGGGGAGGAGGTATAATCTGCCTGTTTAGTTTTGGAAGCTGCTGAATGGTTTTAGGATTTATTTCCCACTTTCCCACCTAGACATGATGCCAAGAGTAAGAAGGCATCAGAGGAAACTGGGCAAGTCCTAAAGTAATTATTGGAACAGTCATGCAATTCAAATTCCTGCCGTTCTGATATCTCTGAATTCTCTTGAAGACCTGAATAAAATGTGTTCTTTTTCTGAGACATGTAGATACATTGTTTGAACAAAGGAAACAGGGTGACTTCAAAATGTCCAGTATGTGGAAATCGATGCGGTTCAGCCTGTGGGGTAATGAATGAAAACACTGGCGACAGTCGGCCCCATTGTTTGTCATGGTGCAACAGGAAGTGGTACACTAATAAGGAGCCAGGGGAGGTTTATGTAATTCAGAAGGAAGCAGACGTGTGTGCAGTTCTGACTGATGCCCTTCTCACTGCAGATCCAGGCTCACCGAGCAGGTTCCTATGACTGATGGACGTGGAGATGTCTGATTGGATTTTGTCATTTGATTTTTGACACTGACTAATGATAGATTTTTATTTCCCTTACGGTCAGAAATAGTGTCTTGAAAAACTTCACTTTAGATCATGGTTTTCACACACAGTTATAATTCAC